CCCCGTGCTGTCCCTGTCCTGGGACTGTTTGATAAGAACAGTGTAGACCGAGCTTTACCCTGTATCTAACCCTGTGCTGTCCCTGTCCTGGGTGTGTTTGATGGGATCCCCACTTTAGGGTAAGCTGAGCTACTGGAACATTTATCAATCCTGAGCAAACAGTGTCAGGCGTTAGTTAAACAAGTGTGTGGTGACCCTGGGTGACCTGCTGGTTCCGCTCTCTGCCATCACATCATTGTTCTCGCTGTCTCTGAGTCAGGAGTTTGACAGGGCGAGTTCCCTTCGCAACGGCTTTGTATTTGACAGCGTGGTGCGGTGTGTCCTTCCCCAGCCCCCCCACAATCCATGTTCGTGCCCTCCCTGGTTGTGCCGATAGGGCCTGCTGTCTTCCGAGGCGAGGTCTTCCTCATCACCTCCGTCTTAGCATTGAGAAACACCTCCCCAACCCCCCCACTCCCCCTTCCCAGGCACTAAGCTGGATTTGAAAACCCAGAACTCGGTGTTTCAAACCCAAGGCGTTGGTGGACTGGTTGCCAGGATGGCTGAGTGGGCACTAAAACTGGTGCTGAGTGAATAGCTCTCGCTGCGGGTGAGAGCGAGGGGACAGCAGGGAGTTGAAGGAGCCCCGAGGCAGATGGAGGGGTTAAGACGGGAAAGCGGCCCAGAGGGAATGGGAGCTCCTGAGCCTGAAAGCAACAAAGGGCACGGATAAAACCAGGATGACGACGCACTGTGGGAATCTCCAAATATCTCCACGGGTCTGAACTGGAGGAAGGCAAACTCGATTGTGCTTCATACTCCAGGCTATTTTTACCGTTCATTGTGATGGATAAAGGCACTCAGCAGCTTGTTCAATTTATTAAAAAGTAAGGTGAAGAAATTCCCCTCTTTGATAGGCTAGAATTAAACTATGGGCAGGCAATTCATAGAATCCCTACAGTGTGGAAACAGGCCCTGAGCATCCCACCCATTAAACCCCTACATCCCACCTAATCTACAGATCTGTGAATGCTATGGGGTAATTTAGCATGGCCAATCCACTTTAACCTGCATATCTTTGGACTGTGGGAGGAAACCCACGCAGACACGGGGAGAATGTGCAAACTTCACACAGACAGTTGCCCAAGGGTGGAATCGAACCTGGGTCCCCAGTGCTGTGAGGCAGCAGTGCTAACCCCTGAGCCACCATGCCACCCATAAATGGCCAAGCGGTGCTATTACTGGGCTATCAATCGAGCGAGCTGGGGAATGGCCCTGGGGACCGGCGTTCGAATCCCGCCACGGCAGATGGTGGAATTTGAATTCAGTAAAAATCTGGAATTAAGAGTCTAATGACGGCCATGAATCCAGTGTCGATTGTTGGGAAAAACCCATTTGGTTCACTTAATGTCCTTTAGGGAAAGAAAGTAATGTGGTCCACACTTAAACTGCTCTCTGGGCAAGAAATGTTGGCCATGAATCTATTGTTTAAAAAAAATACCAGTTAACCAAGAGGAGTGGCTCAGTGGTTAGCACTGCTGCCTCACGGCGCCAGGGAACCAGGTTCGATCCCACCCTCGGGCGACTGTCTGTGTGGAGTTTGCACACTCTCCCCGTGTCTGCGTGGGTTTCCTCCGGGTGCTCCGGTTTCCTCCCACTGTCCAAAGATGTGCAGATTATGTGAATTGGCCCATAGTGTTCGGGGACATGCAGGCCAGGTGAGTTAGTCATGGGAAATGCAGGGTTACAGGGATAGGTGGGATGCTGTTTGGAAGTGTGGGTGCTCACTTGATGGGCTGAATGGTCTCTCCCTGCACTGCAGGGATTCGATGGTTCTTGGGTCAGTGAGAACCTTCCGAAGAGTGTTCATGAAACCACCAACATTTTGAGATTGTTCAAGAGGGAGCTAGTGGTAACGTGACTGGGTGAGCAACCCTTAGCCCCAAGTTAATGTTTAGGGGGCCGTAGGTTCAAATCCTTGCCACGGTGAAATTTGAGTTCAATAAAACAAAATTAAATTAGAAATAAAGCTAGCCTCCTGGTGATAATATCATCTGGTTCACAAACATCTCTTAGGGAAGGAAATCTGCCACCATTACCTGGTCTGGCTTAAACATGACTCCAGACCCACAGCAATGTGGCTCATTCTTATCTCTGGGCAGTTAGGAATGGGCAGTAAATGCTGGACTAGCAAGTGATGTCCATGTGCCAGAGAATGAATGAAAAAAATTATCCTGCTGTTGTACTGTGACTTGGCTCAAAGGTCATTGGTTCTGAAACCACAGACCACACAGCCAACAAAAACGGAACTCCAGTCAGACACTCCGTCTCGGTGTAAATGCTGAGGGAGCGCCGCACTGCCGGACGGTCAGTGCTGAGGGAGCGCCGCACTGTCGGAGGGTCAGTGCTGAGGGAGCGCCGCACTGTCGGAGGTTCAGCACTCAGGGAGCGGGCACTGTCGGAGGGTCAGCGCTGAGGGAGCGCCGCACTGTCGGAGGGTCAGCGCTGAGGGAGCGCCGCACTGTCGGAGGGTCAGCGCTGAGGGAGCGCCGCACTGTCGGAGGGTCAGTGCTGAGGGCCACCATTTTGCTGGTTGTGTGGTTTGGAGGGTGTGCATGTTTGGGACATTTTACTTGTCCTCAAGCTGATTGTGGTCCCTCAACCTACATCCGTGAACAAAAGGATGTGCATTCTGCTGGCCAGAGTGGAAACATTATAGCAGGTAACCCCTACACAGCCAATCGATCAATTGGAATGACCTTTGATGGTGAAAGGTTCTGGATAAATGAAACTTTTTCTTATTGTGTGGCATTTACAGTCGCTGACATGGAATGTGAGCAAAGCTAAAACTTGGCTCCTTGGCATTTCAACAGTGTTTATGAGATCTGGTTGTGTGATAACTGAGCACAGGAAACAGAGTGTGTTTGCTCAGAACTGATCTCACTGTTTCTCTGAGGAGCTCAGCTCAAAACATCCCAATATTCGGTGATCAGTGAGCACTTCGATAGACACTTCTGCACACGCACATCCCTCTCTGTCATCCTACAGCCTCCTTATCTCTGTAACCTGCTCCAGTCCTTACACCCCTCCCTATCTCTGTAACCTCCTCCAGCCCCTACACCCCCTCCCTATCTCTGTAATCTCCTCCAGCCCCTACACCCCTCTCTGCCTCTGTTACCTCCCTCAATCCCAGTCTCTCGAGCGTTCCCCAATTCCCATTGTTCTGTCACTGGGGGCCATACCTTCAGCTGCCCAGGGCCCTGTGCTCAGGACCTCCCTCCCTAAACCTCCCCACCTCTCAGTGAGCAGAAACATCCATTAATATAGCACCTTGAATCTTCCAAAGATGTCTCAAGTCTTTTAACCCTGCGGTAATCAGACAGAAATCTGACCCTGAGGCACATGACGAGAACCTGGTC